AGTAGGCTACTAGGCTAATGACCACATCCAATTAGAAAATTCAAAGATTTTTCTATTGTTTATATCTCATTCCAAAGATTGCTTATTAACTTTTAACAGACTTTTTGCCTTGAGAATAATGGCCTTCTGCCATAATATTCAAGGTCATTGAAATTTAAAAGTACTTATAGACTTTAATTTACTCATGTTTGGAGTTAACATCTTTGCCTTCTTAAATAAATCAAAATTCTAATATGTTTGAAGGTTAAGTAAAGGACAGTTCATTAGTATATTTAATAATCTTTATTGAGAATTTCAGCCTGTGTAGCTATAATGTATATTGTAATTCATCCTCATTTGGAAGGATAAAATATGTGTGCCATCCATGATATTTTTTAATCCTTGATAAAATCCTTCTGAAAATCACAATGTTCCTTTTTTTGTTCTTATTAATGGTCTATGGTGTAAGTAGCCTATATTCTGTTATTTCCATTTTATGTGTGGGAATAATGAAAATGTGGAGATAAGTGACCTATGATTTATGATTGCTAGTAATTAAATTAGGAGGTCTGGTGGCATAGTGCTTAAGGCATTTGACTGCAAACCAGAAGACTGGTGGTTCAAGCCCACCAGCCATTCCATGGAAGGAAGACTGGACAATCTACTTCCATAAAGATTTATTGCCTCAGAAACCCAAAGGGGGTAGCTATGAATCAGAATCAACTTGGAATTAGGATGAGCTCTCTTTTTTATTTTAGCCTACACTTCTTTGGTAAATACATTCTCCTATTTCCTTTCAATAGTTAATTAATAACATCTTTGTTATAATAAAGGTCCGAGTTGTTGGAGTTACCTGTGCAGCCTGCCCATTCCCATGCTTGAATGATCTTAAATTTCCTGTAGTCGTGCTGGATGAAAGTAGTCAAATAACTGAACCGGCCTCTCTCCTTCCCATTGCAAGGTAATATAAAAGATTCTTTTCTTGAAGACATACCGATCTCACAGTTACTTCAGGAATTTGCTCAGTTCAGTTTCTTACTAAACTCTTCCAAGGATTTTTAGCAATTCAGGCATGAAACTGATTTTTGAAAAGAAGAATACAGAGAAAATTTTTAGTTACTATATCAAAATGTTGTTAGATCCCAGTTTCCACATTTGGGCCTTATAATCCTTAAAGCTTTAAATAGTCTGTATTGGTTACCTAGTGCTGCTCTGACAGGAATATACCACAAATGAGATGGCTTTAACAAACAGGAGTTTATTCTCTTAATTTGGAGGCTTTAAGTCTGAGTTCAAAGTGCCAGGCTCTAGGGGCTGGGTGAAAGCTCCTCAACCTTGAGCTTCAGCTCTGTCTCTTATTCCTGGCCCACTGAAGCTAGAGGCATCTCTCCACTCAGGCAGCTGCTAGTTGCTGAGGCTGACAAACCCAAGGTCAACAAGTGAAAAGGCACAGTACCAATATTACCAAACCACACTGCAGGCCATTAATTCAAGTCCATTGAAAGTCCCAAGGTCAGCAGAGCATGACAGGCTGCTGGACATCGACATGGCTACGTGCAGGCTTCGAACGTGCCATAAGCTAGAGACCATTCCCTAAGGCTTCTCCTTATATACAGGAAGCAGATCACATCCCTAAGGCAGCTACTCAGCTACTCACAGTAGATTCCACCATGGAGTTTATTACCAGTCTCATCATGGGGAATACTACCACCAGCTGCCCAGCCACTCAATCAGGCCCAGCCAAGTTGACACACAGACTTAACTACCACATAGTCTTAATGCAAGGATTCTACTTATGACCTTCCAGATTTCTTAACTAGATTAAATGTTCCTATTTAGTCAGGGTTTGAGTACCTATCTCTCCTGATGAATGCCCTTCAGTCCTTTTACTATGATATAATTCTAGTGTTTTGATTCTGAAAATAATTTTTAGATTATAAAAGTATATACAGGAAAAACAGTTGAAAATGAAAGTGTTGCCTAAAATTTAAAAGACTTGAAATCTAAACTGTCCCAGTAAATTGGAACATTATGCTTTTAAACCATCTCTTATTGATGTAAAGGTCGTGGGAAGAGTACTGGACCCAGGAGGCCTGAGTTCTAGTCCTTGTTCTGTCCCCAGTTAAGGAGGGAGTAGGGGATGAACTGTTATAGTTTACCTGTGACTTGGGTGTTCCAGTCATAAGACTTTCAGTTTTAAAACTGGAGTAGTCCTGGGAAAATTGGGGCAAATTGTTCACCCCGCTGGGGAGGTAGGGGTAGAGAAGGCATAAGGAGGCCCAGAGTAGAGGCTCGGGGAATACTTGATGAGTGTCTACTGTATATTAAACACATTACATAACTCAATCCTTATAATAGCCATGTAAGGTATTATTACCTCCACAGTACTGATAAGGATACTGAACCTTAGAGACATACATAACTTTCTGTGTCCACAGGATATAATAGAGCTGAGATTTGAACACAGGTTTGTCTAAAAACTTGACTTTTCCTACTATATCTGGCTGCTGTTTAGAAAGGTGTTTAGCCCCTTTGAGCCTAATTTACTTCATCTCTGCAACAAAAGATTAAGCCAAACAACTTCTAAGAAATCATGTAAGTCTAAAAGTCTTTGGATTCTAAAAATCAGTGTTCCAAAGTGTGTTCTGTAAAATATACAGGAGCAGCAAGTACTTAATAGATTTTATGGAAAAACTAAAACTTTTTGAAAGTTTCTTTATTGAATAACTTCTCAAGGCCTTTAACATAGTTCTTGGCACTAATAAGCCTTTTTAGTTCACAGAATATTTCATGGAATTCAAATTATTTAGAATATATTTTGGAAAGCATTGCTATTAATGTCCTTTTCCCATTGCCAAGAATGATTTTCAAAACTCTGTTTATAGGTTTGAATGTGAAAAGCTGATTCTTGTTGGAGACCCTAAACAACTGCCTCCTACTATTCAGGGTTCTGATGCTGCTCATGAAAATGGATTGGAGCAAACTCTTTTTGATCGACTTTGCTTAATGGTACATACTGCTGAATTCATACTGAATGAGCACTTATTGATTACACACTGTGTAGCTTCATAAAGAATGAAAATAATAGCATCAGAGTTGTCTAGAAAGTACTCATCTTAATTTGAGCACCCCTTGATAAAGAATAGTTACCTTGTGTCCTAATAGGTAATGATTATATTGCTTTTGCTCTTACACTGAAAAAACTACATAGCTCCTCAGATGATAGGTAAATGAATCCATGGATTCAGTACTGATCATCCATCTCTAAAACCAGCATTGCTATGGAGCTCTACTTCAGATTTTTGAAAATTTAAAAAATGAATTATTACTGTTTTTAAATTGAGGTGAAATTATATAACATAAAATTAACCATTTCAAAGTGAGCAATTGAGCAGCATTTAGCATATTCACAGTTTTGTACAACCACCTCCTCTTTCTAGTTCCAAAACATTTTCATCACCACAAAATAAAACCCTGTACCCATTTAGCAATTAGCTTAATTATTTTGAGGTTCATCCACATTGTAGTATATACTTGCACTTCACTCCTTTTTTTGTGGCTGAATAATAAAATACTCCATTGTATGTGTATACTACAATTTATTATACATTCATTGTTTCTATTGTTTTGATACAATCCTAAATCAATCCATTTTTGTAAACAGAAGGTTAAATATTCCAGCCAAAAGAATTGTAAAAACTTTGACAAAAAAAACTTTGTCATGGTTTCTAGTTTAAATTGCAGTTAAGGAGTTATTTTGCTTAATAATCTAGTTTTTTAACAGAAGAAGGGAGACTCAAGTGAAACTAAAAGAATTGTTAGAGCTAAAGTAAATATTTCTTCATCCATGAGAGAGAGAGCAATTTACAAAAGATCCCTTTAACAAGAAATTTTAGATGGAATGGGATGATTTCCTTGCTCAAACATGCAGAGGTATTTGCACTCTAATGCATCTTTCCTGCTTTTTTTATCCCTTTCCAAGTTCCTATGTAGTTGGTTACATCATTCATATTTTTGTGCTCTCTGGGTTTATAACATACACCTTCTGTTTTAGAACCGTACCAAAAAAGCCCAAATGCACTGCTGTGGAGTCGGATCCAACTCATAGCAACCCCTCCTTGGGTTTCTGAGGCAGTATCACTACAGATGTAGATTGCCCAGCCTTCCTTCTGAGGAGTAGCTGGTGGGTTTGAACCTCTAGCCTTCTCCTTAGCAGTCAAGTGCCTTAGACAGTATGCTATCAGAGCTCCTTTAAAACCATAGTGTGTATAATGATTTAGAATTAATTAATTAGTTCTGTATTTGAATAGATACAATATTTAACTGCTATATTCGTCTGGATGTCTTGAACTTCATCATCAATTTAATTTCTCTAACATCAGACATTAGTTGTTTCTTATTACAAATAGCATGTTTGCACTAAAGCTTTTTGTTGGAGGTTCAAATGCCCACTGACTTGCACTTATCGACAAATTTATACCCTAAAGAATAACTCATAGCTGAGGATTGATTTTTCTTGTGTTATTTATTTATTTTTTGTCCCATATAAAATACTTTGTCTTTGTAATCATGAATTTTATTATGAATGTCTTATTATTATTAGAGAAGTTTTTCATTATTCAAAATGTTCTAGTAATACTGTAGAACTTTTTGGAAAAAAGAACATGATCCAAAAGAGATCTAAAGTAGCTGGGACTTGGATTTTATGATATATGAACAAAATCCGAAACTTCTTTGAAGACCCTGCATGAAGAAATGGCTTTTACTCCAGGAGGAATGTTAATTAATGAATTAGCAACAGCACTTTCTAACTATTTTAAAGATTTCTTTTCAATTTAGTCTTAGGCTAACTCCGAATAGATTTATGAAACCATAATTTTAAATGTCAAACTTATTAGATAATATATCTAACACTTGGAATATTTTATAATTTTCTAGTGTAATATAATTTACTATGAAAAAAGTATATATTTTTTAAGGAGCTCTGGTGGCGTAGTGGGTAAAGCACTTGGCTGCTAACCATAAGGTTGGCGGTTCAAACCTACAAGCTGTTCTGCAGGAGGATGACACAGTCTACTTCCATAAAGATTTACAGCCTTGGAAAACCAATGGGGTCATTATGAGTCAGAATTGATTCAATGGTAGTGGGTTTGGTTTTTGTTGTTACTGTTATTATGAAGCTATTTTAGTAATTTATTTAAAAATAATTTTTATATATACTCTGTTCTATTAAGGAAATATTCCTATCCTATGAGCACACTATAGCAATATTTTTAAATATTTTCATTTCCTTTCCATGCAAATTTTACTTTCTTATTTTTCTGTATTTAAATTTCTTAGGGTCACAAGCCAGTTATACTGAGAACCCAATATCGTTGTCACCCTGCTATCAGTGCTATCGCTAATGATCTGTTCTATGAAGGAAACCTTATGAATGGTGTTTCAGAAACAGAGAGAAGCCCTTTGTTGGAATGGCTGCCAACCCTGTGTTTCTATAATGTCAAAGGACTGGAACAGGTAAATGACATTAATGTTGATGAGAGTAAACACATTTAATTTTATTGTTGTTGTTTATATGATTTTACTTGGTCTTACCCTAGCCCTTTTGGGAAATATAATTTAGGATCTATTTTTTATTCCAGATTGAAAGAGATAATAGCTTTCATAATGTGGCAGAAGCTGCTTTTACACTCAAGCTGATTCAGTCACTGATTGCAAGTGGAATAGCAGGCTATATGATTGGGGTGATAACATTATACAAATCCCAGATGTACAAGGTTTGTAATATACATTATAATATTTATCACATATTAAATATTACACTTACATGTTATTAATAGTTAACATTACATTGAACGGTTTGTTTGGTGTTTGGAAAACCTTGGGAGCTATCGTTAATAATTTATTAAAAGAAAACATTTTGATTTCTGTTTAGGCTGGCTTTTTTTCTATATAATTAAATGTAAACCTAACAAAGTTTAATTAAATTCAGTTTTCAGCTGTTGGGACAAAAATGCAAATAAACAAATTATAGGGAGGAAAGTATGGGGTATGCTTTATGTTTTGGGACAGATGGAATGTCTTTTTCCCAAAATGTTCTTTCATTATTATTAAATTTTATCAGTAAATCAGGGATATATAACTGATATGAAGGTACATGAGACAATTTCCTCCTAACTACATTTTTTTTAAAGTACTTTTCATTATTAGTTTATTTATCACCTCTAATTACCACATCCAAATGAGCTTCCTAGCAATGGAAAAGGTATCACTTTCAATTTTATTTCATAACCAATGTCCAATTTGATGATTAATTTATCATCTTAGAAATTAGGCAAATCTATGTGAGTCATGAAATGAAAAATTATATTATTAGGTAAATTAAAATGGTTACTATGCATCAGTTCAGAAGCATAAGTTCTTTATGATACTGCACTGCTTGATCCCTGTCTTCTTTTCTACACAGCTTTGTCATTTACTCAGTACAGTGGACTTCGACCATTCCAATATTAGAGCTGTCCAGGTGTCGACGGTAGATGCTTTTCAGGGAGCTGAAAAGGAGATCATAATTCTGTCCTGTGTAAGGACAAGACAAGTGGGATTCATTGATTCAGAAAAAAGAATGAATGTTGCATTGACCAGAGGAAAGAGGCATTTATTGATTGTGGGAAATATAGCCTGTTTGAGGAAAAATCGGCTATGGGGACGTGTGATCCAACACTGTGAAGGTAAAACGAAAATATTTTTAGTTTAAACAATTTGAATTCAAACTAACTTTTTGGGGAGGTTTGAACAGGAACAACACTAAATGGGCCATTGTGGGAGATGACTAAAACAATAATAATACAGGGATCATTATAAAATATGCAACAGTTATCTCATGTTTTGTATCTTTTTAAGGAAGAGAAGATGGATTGCAACATGCAAGCCAGTATGAGCCATGGCTCAACCATCTCCTAAAAGATTATTTAGAAAAAAGAGCAGAAGAAAAACAGCAGAAAAAGAGTGAAAAAGAGAAATCTCCAAGTAAACTTCTTTCACAAACAGACATTGTGTAGATATTTTGTAAGAAAATTTAAATTCATTTTATCACTTGGATTTTTTATATTCTTATTTCCCCAAAACGCTTGTTGTGTGTTGGGGGGGAAATTGTGATATTTAAATGGCATATTAAATAAATGCATCCCAAAAGTTTTCCTCTTCAAAAAAGTACAAATTATTTATAGTAAGATAGGCAGATGTTGAAGTGAATATAAAATCTTACTAATAAAAATTTTTCTTAAAACCATGCCTTCTCTTAGCTGAAGAAATGAGTTTTACAAAACTAAAGCCTCCATGGGGAATATCAGTATTACTTCAAAATATGTGGATATCTCAAAAGCTCATCTGTTAGAATGGATCTGCACAGTCAGTTATGCCAACCTACTCCTTTTTGAACTATGACTTTATATTTTAAGAATAAACATAATGCCCTATCTATTTTCTAAAGTTTTAAATCCGTTGTGTGGGTTATAATAAATTACGGATAACATTTCAAAGAATAGGAATTCTGAAATACTTCATGCAGATCCTGTACATAGACCAAAAGGCAGTCATTTGAACAAAACAAGGGATATTGCATGGTTTAAGCACAGGGAATGTGTACATCACAGGTGTATCCTTTCACTGTATTTATTCAATCAGTATTCTAAGCAAATAATCTGAGAAGCTGGACAACTTGAAGAAAAATGTGGTATCAGGATTGGAGGAAGACTTACTAACAATCTGACACACTCTAGCTTGCTGAAAGTGAACAAGACTTGAAGTGTTTATTGATGAAGATCAAAGACTGCAACCTTCCATATAGATTTCACCTCAACATAAAGCAAAACTCCTCAGTACACTAATAAGGAACATCATGATAAATGGACAAAAGACTGAAGTTGTCAAGGATTTCATTTTACTTGGATCTTCAATCAATGCCGATGGAAGTAGCAAAAAAGAAATCCGCTAACATATTGCACTGGCAAATCTGATGCAGAAGAACTCTTTAAAGTATTAAATAGCAAAGGTGTTACTTTGAGGACTAAGGTGTACCTGACCCTAGCCATAGTGTTTTCACTTGTCTCATATGCATGAGAAAATTGGACAATGAACAAGAAGAACTGAAGATACATCGATGCCTTTAAATAATGGTGTTGGTGAAGAATATTGAATATACCATGGACTTCCAGAAGAATGAACAAATCTGTCTTGGAAGAAGAACAGCCAGATACTCCTTAGAAGTGAGGAGGCAAGACTTCGTTTCATGTACTTGGGACGTGTTATCAGGAAGGACCAATCTCTGGAGAAGGACATCATACTTGGTAAAGTAGAGGGCCAATGAAAAAGAGAAGGGCCTCAATGAGATGGAATGATGCATTAGCTCCAACAGTGGGCTCAAGCATAGCAACAGTTGTGAGGATGGCATAGTATTGACAGTGTTTCATTCTGTTATACATATGAGTTGGAACCAACTGGATAGCACTTAACAAAAATAACAAAAACATAAGTTTTGTTTTCTTATGTTACTTTCACAAGTAAAAACATTCACCATAAAAGTTTTAAGAAGTACAAAACAATATGCACACCAGTGTTCATCGCTGCACTATTTAAAGTAGCCAAAAGATGGAAACAACCTAGGTGTCCATCAACTGAGGAATGGATAACCAAACTATGGGACATACACACAATGGAATACTATGCAATGCTAAAGAATAATGTAGAATCTGCAAAACACC